GAATAAATTATAGACCCAGTCCCTTAGCAGACTCTGAATATATTAATACTTAATTGAATAAATTATAGACCCAGTCCCTTAGCAGACTCTGAATATATTAATACTTAATTGAATACACAGACCCAGCCCCTTAGCAGACTCTGAATACATTAATACTTAATTGAATAAATAAGACCCAGTCCCTCAGCAGCCTCRCATTTACCCATTTGATGAATATATTAATACTTAATTGAATAAATAAGACCCAGTCCCTCAGCAGCCTCGCATTTACCCATGTGATGAAGATGTTACTACTTAATTGAATAAATAAGACCCAGTACCTCAGCAGTCTCTGAATATGTTAATTGAATACATTATAGATCACRTCACTCTGATATATAAATCACTGTTGTGCAGTAAAACCTATGGGTTGGTGGGGTGTGGTTATTTAGTAATTCTCCTACTTGCAATAATCCTCACAGTACAAAGGCTGCCTTGTCACCAAGGTACTCTCACGGGTCTGTAGGGAGTTCAGAGTCTGATATTCTTATCACCAGTGTTCGACATTAGAGGAGTTAGTTGGTATGGTTTCATAAGCTGGCTGTTGTCGGGACAGTAATTTACTGCTGTGGTCCTGGTAAGCGGGGGGTAGCAACAATCTGTGCTGGTGGGACCTCAAGGAGGTGGTGGTGCTGGTGAGACCTCGAGGAGGTATTGGTGCTGGCGAGACCTCAAGGAGGTATTGGTGCTGGTGAGACCTCGAGGAGGTATTGGTGCTGGCGAGACCTCGAGGAGGTATTGGTGCTGGTGAGACCTCGAGGAGGTATTGGTGCTGGCGAGACCTCAAGGAGGTATTGATGATGAGGGAACCTTAGGGTGGTATTTGTCAAAAAGGGCGTGGAGAGGGTAAAGATGGAATTAATTAAAAAACAGAGAAAACATACTAAGTCCAAAATAAAACTTTATTTTTCAAACATAACATGGATTACAAGACAATTTTTACAAGTCCAGAGAATTCAAATTTAAAAAATTTCTAAGTCAAATCAACTAGGTATGAAAAAAAACCAAGTGTCAAATTCTGCAACCCTACCAAATAATCCTAATTAAATTTTTTACAAGTCCAGAAAAATTATAACAATTTCTAAGTCAAAACACCTAGTTATGAAAAATAGCTAAGTGTCAAATTCTGCAACCTTACCAAAAATTCCCAAGTCCATCACTTGTCTTTTCCTGAAAACAATATACAAAAAAATCCATAAGTACCCAATACAAGTACCCCTCCCCCAATTGACGTTCATCACCACCCCTTCCAATGGAGTTCATCCCAACCTCTCCCTATTGAGGTTTATCCCCACCTCACCCTATTGAGGTTTATCCCAACCTCACCCTATTGATGTTTATCCCCACCTCTCCCTATTGAGGTTTATCCCCACCTCTCCCTATTGAGGTTTATCCCCACCTCTCCCTATTGAGGTTTATCCCCACCTCTCTCTATTGAGGTTTATCCCCACCTCACCTTAATCCTATTGAGGTTTATCCCCACCTCATCCTAATCCTATTGAGGTTTATCCCCACCTCACCCTAATCCTATGAGGTTTATCCCCACCTCACCTTAATCCTATTGAGGTTTATCCCGACCTCACCCTAATCCTATTGAGGTTTATCCCGACCTCACCCTGATCCTATGAGGTTTATCCCCACCTCACCCTAATCCTATTGAGGTTTATCCCCACCTCACCCTAATCCTATTGAGGTTTATCCCCACCTCACCCTAATCCT